CATTCCCATCCCGCCGGGCCCCCCAGGAACCCACGAACATGATCCTGGCGAAGGGCCAAACCATATGCAGTTGTGGGTACCGCAATTGATTGTGAATATCTTATTCGGTGAAACTCCCTATGGGGCCACGAAGCGCTGCACTGGGTGGGGGGGGGCGCATGCGGGCGGTAGCTTTAGCTCCGTCGGTGGAGCTCCCTACGGGGCCACGAAGCGCTGTACTGAGTGGGGGGACGCATGCGGGCGGTAGCTCTGGGATCCTCGGTGTACCTCCCTGTGATGCCACGAAGCGCTGCATTGGGTGGGGGGGACGCATGCGGGCGGTAGCACTGGGGCCGTCGGTGGAGCTCCCTATGGGGCCACGAAGCGCAGCCATGGGTAGGGGGGGCGCATGCGGGCGGTAGCACTGGGGCCGTCGGTGTAACTCCTGATGGGGCCACGAAGCGCTGCATTGGGTGGGGGAGCGCATGTGGGCGGTTGCGCTAGGATTTTCGGTGCAGTCCCATGTGGGGCCACGCCCACGAAAGCGGCGACAGCCGCGCAGTTCGCGGCCCCCCCAGGGACCCGCGAGATCTCGGCGCGGTTCGTTTTCAACTCCACCCCGCTGGACCTCCCAGGGGTCCGCGAAAGTGGCGACATTTGCGCAGTTCGCAGCCCCCCATGGACCCGCGATGTCTCAGCGCGATCGGCCTGCATCTCCACGAATGCAGCGACAACTGCGCAGTTCGCAGCCAGCCCAGGGAGCCGCGAGGTGGAAGACCAGAGGAAAGCAGAACGCGCGAGGCTCGGGCCGGGCGAAAGGGGGGGATTGGGAAAGGGGGGGTTACGAAATTTGCTGCATGCAGCTGGTTTCGGCCTCACCGAGAGGCCCATTCCTCGATACATGGGCGCCTCCGGCGCCGGGAGGCGCCGGGAAAATCAGCTTCGTGAGCTGATTCTCAAACCCCCCCTTTGCTATCCCCCCCTTTCGCCCGAACGCGCGAGGCAGGAGGAGGACAAGGAAGAGGAGGAAGGAGGGCGCGAGGGGAGGAGGAGGAGGAGGAGGAGGAGGAGGAGGAGGAGGAGGAGGAGGAGGAGGAGAGGAGGAGGGAGGAGGAGGAGAGGAAGAGGGAGGAGGAGGAGGACAAGGAAGAGGAGGACGGAGGGCGCGAGGGGGGAAGCGGGGGGGGGGACGGGGCGAACCACGGTGCGCCATTTCCAAACGAGAAACCCACCACAGAGTGCTGGGAACGGCAAGCGGGAAGGCCAGGAAGGGGAGCAGAAAAACGAGAGGAGGAGGAGGAGGAGGAGGAGGAGGAGGAGGAGGAGGAGGAGGTAGGAGGAGGAGGAGGAGGGCGCGAAGGGAGGGATGGGGAGGAGGGATGGGGGATAGGAGGAGGGAGGAGGAGAGGGGATGAGCAAAGGAGTGAGGAGGAGGAAAGGAGGAGGAGGAGGAGGGAGGAGGAGGAAAAAGAGGAGGAGGGAGGAGGAACAAGGAAGAGGAGGAAGGAGGGGGCGCGAGGGGAGGCGGGGGGGGGGTGGGGGACGGGGCTACCACGGTTGCGCCAATTCCCAAAACGAGAAAACCCACCAGAGGGTCTGGGAACGCAGCGGGGGGCAGGAGGGAGCAGAAAACATAGGAGGAGGAGAGAGGAGGAGGAAGGAGGAGGAGGAAGGTAAGGAGGAAGGAAGGAAGGAAAAGGAGGAGCAGGAGGAGCAGGAGCAGGAGGAGGAGGAAGAGGAAGAGGAGGAGGAGGAGGAGGATGAGGAGGAGGAGGAGGAGGAGGAGGAGGAGGAGGAGGAGGAGGAGGAGGAGGAGGAGGAGAAGAAGACGGGTTGGGCTGGGCCACGGCGCTCCATTCAAGGCGAGAACCCAGCAAGAAGGGGCATTGAACAAACAGTTTGGTTGCAACGTGGCGTGTCAAAAGTGCCGGCGCGCGTTTGCGAATCCGTGCGGGAACCATAGATTCGTAGCATTTTTCAGAAAATGCGACCGAGCGCACCTCCCGCGCGCGCACGTCGAAATCATTCGAGGGCCCTCACGCGTTTGCGTGGGCGGGGAGGGGGAGCGCGCGATCGCCGTCGCGCAATGCCACGCGGGGTGGCCACTCGCGCCCGTCGGCCGCGCGCGCATGCCGAAATTGCTCCAAGACCTTCATCGCCGATGTGTCGGCACCATCTCATCATCAGCGCTAGCAGCATGGGCGCCGCCATTGGCCTTGCGCTTGCCGCCACCGTCATCGCCATCATCGTCGCCAGCACCGCTCTTGTCATCATCACGTTCGCCGTTGCCGGCGTCGCCGCGAAGAGGCGCCCGCGCCAGCGCGGCCCGGGGGGCGCGCTGGGAAGTCCCCCGAGGCGAGCGCCACCGCGGCCGCGTCGGTCGCACGAGACTAGCCGCCGTCTTGCGCGCGAGTTTGCGCCCGCGCGCGGCCGAACGGACGCGCCGACCAGCGCCGGGCATTCATCGCTCTCAACGCCGCATGGGCGTTGCAAACCAAGTTGCGGGCGGGCGCGCGGGCGGGGTGGTTGCGCCAGCAGTGGAGCTCACAATTCAGCAGCGAGCATTCGTTCATGTCCGTTTCTAAAAAGATATGCGTTTCTACCCGCGCCCCCACCCTTCGATATCGATTCCACGTGGCATAATGCGATGTCACATTTGTTCAGCGCGCTCGATCGTTTCACGATAGAAGACCGCGCAGATCCAGCCCAGCAAGCCCCCACCATGCCCCCCCGTCTCTGTCAAATAACATTCTGCGCACACTCTTCATCACCGATCCTCAGTTCCAGAGAACTCTCGTCAAACGCCACCCTTGGAAAAGCCGTAGCCGACGCGCCCGCGTCATCGCGTGCATGCCGGCATGAGAAGAAAAATGGGTTTCGCAAGGATCGCGAGATCGAGGCACCTGAAACGTTTTTTCTCTTTTGAAAAACAATGCGCACGCGAGCGATTGCGAATTATTGCGGCCAGACCAAAGGTTTTCCAACGTGTCCATGAACCGCAACCAAGCGGGCCTGTCGCGCGCGCGCATGTCGAGATCATTCGAGCGCCCTTGCGCGCTTGCTGGGGGGCGGGGGCCGTCGGCGCGATCAGCGGCGCTTCCGTCGTTGGTCTTGCCGTCGTCTTTGTCCCCAATGCCGCCAACGTCGCCACAAGCATCATCGCGTCTGCCGCTGCCAAAGTCGCCGTGAGACCGCGCCCTGGCGAACCACATATTCGCGCGGAAGCGCCCGCGCGTCGGCGCGGCCTGGCGGGCGCGCCGAGACGCCCCCCGCGGCCGGCGCCACCGCGGCCGCGTCGGCGGCGCCAGACTAGACGGCCGTTCTGCGCGCGAGTCTGCGCGCTGTAGCGCGGCTGCAGCGACGCGCCAGCCAGCGCCAAACAGTCATCGCAATCGCCGCCGCGCGGGCTTTGCAAACCAAGTTGCTGGCTGGCGGGCGGTGCGATTGCCCGAGCAGTGGGGTTGACAACTCGCGGCGGACAAAATTGTGTCGCATAGATTGCGCTGCGAAGATTCTGCGTCCCAGAAAAATACGACCCCTCCGCGCCCGACCGCCCTGGGTTCGCCGGCTCCCTTTGGGATAGTGCAGTTTTGAATCTGAATCTGTATCATCCCAACCAGATCGCCCGTCGATCCCCCCCCTATCCCTGTCGAATAATACGAACGCGCGCGCTCATTTATCGCAGCGTGCTTTTCACGAGTCCCGCGCAGGAACTTCGACGATGTCGACGCGCGCGCGTCGTCGCGCTCGCGCGCAGATGTGTTTCAAACACACTGTAGCTGTCGCAATGATGTCCGATGAGTGTCAACACATTTTAGGCGTCGCAATGATGAGCACATTCAGGTTCGAGGTCCTTGGCCGACGACAGATGTTAACCATGATTGTTGTGCAGCGCGCCTGTTGCAGACGAGTCTGCGCGCGCACTTGCCAATTCATAAGAATGCCATTGGCTGTCCCATCTCTTCACCCACGTGACCAAACGGGCCCCTCGCGAGCGCATGTCGAAATCATTCGAACGTTCTTGCGCGCGTGCAGGGGGGGCGCGACACCTATCAAATGAAACCGCGCCCCCGAATATCCTCAACCCAATAATATGTCCCCAAGAGGCCCCCAAGAGCCCCCCTAGCAGACCATAGGGAACCCCCAGAGACGCTCCCCAAAAGCCCCAAGCCGGCCCATGAGGACCCCAGTGGCGCATGGCAACCCAAGTGGCCCCCAAGAGAGCCCAAGAGGGCCCAGTGTCACCCCTGCCGGAAAGGATCAACCTTGACGGTTCATCGAGGGCTCCCAAGAAACCCAGATATGGTTTCAGGCTGGTCCAAGCGGATACATGATGAGGAGCAGGCGGAGGAGTGGTGGCGGATCAGGGCGAGGGGGACAACGATTTCAGAATGAATGCGACGACGAGGTTTGTGATAGCCACTGGAGAAAGAGAGAGAGAGAGAGAGATAGAGAGAGAGAGGAAAAAACAAGAGAGAGGAGGAGGAGGAGGAGGAGGAGGATCATGAAGATGGGTGAGGAGGAGGCTATTCATGTGACGGAGGTGGAAGAGTGATGATGGGGACGAGGACGACAACAAGAGAGAGAGAGCGAGAAAGACAGGAGGAGGCGGATAACGGCGAGGCGGATTTGGGTTCAGGGTGGCACGCGACGGCCCAAGCCCACAAACGCACTAGCACACGCCGCTCCCCCTTGCCCCCCCCCCCCCTCCGGGCCTCCTGGGCTTGTCCCTGGCCGCTGACAACAGCTCCGGAGGGAATGAATGAGTGACAAGAGCAGCCCAACAAGGCCAAAGGTTTAGAGCGCTGTTCGTCAACTTTGACACGCAATGTGAAACGCATGCCCAATATTGCGCACGTGTTTCCATGGCGTGGTCGTGGTAGGTTGGTACGGGGATCCTTCCGATGAATTGCATGACGCTGGCTTTGCCCCAGCTAGAACCTAAGCGCGCGCGAAGCTACATATCCGAGCACGAGCGTTGGGCGGGCCCGGAACCACGGCCCCGGGTTGGCATGGGGGTCTTGGGGGCCCCACGTGGCAACCACAGTGGCCCCGTGGGCGCACACACAACCCGAAAGTTGGTCCGATAGTCTACTGGACAAGTCCATCACACCCCGAAAAGCGCCGAAGATGCCTTGTGAACAGCCTCCGAAGGCTTCCAGGCTGCGCCAGGACGGCCTCGGGCAGACTTGAGTGGGCAGCCTTCAGTGGGCGCCCTGAGAAGCGAAAATATGTGATTTCCCGATGGTTGTTCTATACTTCTGGGGTCCCCCTTGTTTCGAGTTTCAGACAATCGCAAACGGCCCACGAGGCCCACAAGACCGCCCAAACATGGGCCAAGAGTTCCCGAGGAGGGCCCCAGGACCGCCTAACAGGGTTCCATGACGGCCCCAGGGGCGCCCAAGACGGCCCACGAGGTCTGAACGACAGCCCTAAGATGGGTTCAAGACGGGGAGCATCAACCCAAATGCAATTTTCTCCAGCCCAAGAGGCTCTCAGGAGGAGCCCCAAAAGAGGCCCCCCCGAGCGGCTCTCCGATCGCCCTCGGCGCCAAGGTGGTCCCCGGAGCATCCTGGCGGTCCCCAAGAGGGCCCCAGAGTTCCCCAAGAAGTCTCCAAGAAGCCCCCAAGAGGCCCCCAGTAGACGCCCAAGTTGCCCTCATGAGTCCCCCGAGCGGCTCCCGTGTGTCTTGCACGCCTCCAATCGAAGACACCTCCATTCCAGAAGGTATACAGACACTAGGTCTACAAACGCTTTTCCTCCCCTATCACGCCTTCCCATCCTCTTTCTCCTCTTCATCCTCCTCTCCCTCCCCAAACCCTCCCTCCTCTCCTCTGGTTCCTCATCCCTTTTCCCTCCCGCCTTCCTCGGCCACTCTCTTGCTCATTTCCTGCTGCCTCCTCCTCCCTCCACCCTCCTTCGTCTCGCCCCTCCCGTTCTCACTCGTCCTCCTTGTTCCTCCTTTCTCCTTCCTCCTTCTCCTCCTCGTCCTCCTCCTCTTCCTCCTCATCCTTCTCCCCCTCCTCCTCCCAAACTCCCCCGGGAGACTCATGGAGCTGTGCAGAAGCTCAAAGAGGGCCCCACGAGGATCCCAGGAGGCTTCCGGGCTGCCCCAGCAGCACAACGAAGCTCCGAGAGGCCAGCCGCTGCCCTTTTGGCTCTCGAGGCTGGGCTCGAGAGACGGGCCCTCGCCGGCCGAAGCCTCGCGCGGGCGACCACCGCTGCCAGGCGCAGGCCCAGGGCGCCGCTCGAGCCCGCAGCCCGACGCCCCGCTCTGTTCCACGCGGGCCATGCCTCCGGCGCTGCCGGAGATCGAGGGCGCCCTGGCACGCCTGGAGCGCCTCCAGAGGGCCTGGGGCGACCCATCGGACGACCAGAGCGCCTTCCGCCGCGGGCTGCGCGCGGAGCTGCGAGCCCACGCCCTCGCGAGGGACGCGCTCGGGGCCTGCCACAGCGACCCCGCCGGCGGCGGCGGCCGGTGCTGCGCCGCGGGCGCGGGCTGTGCGGACGCGCGGAGTCCGCAGCCAGACCTGCCGGTGGCGGGCGAAGGCTGGCGCCGTCACGGCAGCAGCTGTCTCGACCACTCGGCCAGCGGGGACGGCACGTGCTCGACTGGCGAGGATTCGTGCTCGCCGCGGTCGCCGTCTCGGGCGTACAGAGTGGGCCCGCAGGAGCCTCCTGACAGCTCCGGGTTGAATCATGACCGCGATGGGATTGATGATTCGCATGCGGTGGACGACGACACCAGAAGTGAGATCGAAGTGTCAAGGCCAAGCAAGCGGAAACACACAATGACCAAATCACCGACGATGGAACTTGCGATGTCAATGGAGATAGACGTACCTTGGAGCGTGGGTTCAATAAGGCATACTGCCTGGAAGTTGGTCCATGGCGGTCATGGGTTCGATGCGGTTATGGGCATGGTCATAGTCGCCAGTGCCATAAGTGTAGGCCTGGAGATCCAGTGGGACATCCAAGGTAGAGAGGACCTCACGAGCGTTCTGCACGCGCTCCAGCATGTGTATTTGGTTATCTTCGTGATCGAGCTGCTAATCCGCGCTGTGGCGGACGGTAAGATCATCGTGCGCAACCAGTGGTTCCAGTTCGATGCCGTTGTGGTGGCCACGGGAGTTGTGACCTCTTGGATCTGTGCGCCCATCATGGAGTTCGCTGGTACCGACCAGAGTTTCCTCGGCATCTTCTCCAAATTGTTGATTGTTCGCACACTGCGCCTCCTGCGCCTCGTGCGCGCCTTCCGCCTGATGGAGGAGTTCCAGGACATCTGGAAGCTCGTGTCGGGCCTGGGGAGCTCTTTGCGGACCGTGCTCTCGGCGGCCCTCCTGATAGTGCTTGCAATCTACGTGTTCGCCTGCGCCGGCGTCGAGCTGATCACGAGAAACGATACTTTGCTACAGGATCCAGAAACTGCGAGCGTGGTAGAAAATCATTTCAGGACGGTGCAGCTAACGATGCTTACGTTGTTCCGGTTCACCAATGCGGATTCCATCTCGTCAATCTATACGCCTCTTGTGAGTAAGGCGTGGTATTTGGCATTCTACTTCGGTGCATTATGGCTCACGGTCACTGTGTCGCTGATGACATCCGTGGCTGCTGTGATTGTCGATAATGCCATCGCTCGAGGTGGCCAGGACAGGGATATGAGGACGCATTGTTTACGGAAGAAGCTGAAGGCCCTGACGCCCTACATCAATTCTATTTTTTCTCAATTGGATTTGGACGGGGACGGGGTTTTGCAGTTGAGCGAGGTCATGGCAGGACTCGAGAGATTCGAAGGTCTTGAGACTTTGCCAGACGACCTCCAAAAGCTATTGGTATCGGACAACCTTGTCGATTTGTATGAGTTTCTCGATTCGGATGGGTCCGGTATGGTTGATCGAGAGGAGTTCTTCGATGGAGTTTGCCATTTGGCACTCGAGAGCGTTCCAATCGAAACTACCCAAACGCTGCAGCTCCTGCGATCGCAGCACAGGGCCCTGGAGCTGATCAGAGACGTGACGTGCCTCCAGGGAAACCAGGCTGTACTTGCAGCCGACCACCCGCAAGGAGCTGAAACCCTGAGTGTGATGGTTGTTCCAAAGTTTCGGATAAGACGGGATGAAGATTCCGTCGGGGCGGTGACCATAAAGCCTAAAGTATTCAGCATTCCCTTGGAGTCGCCATTAGAGACGCCATGCGCAGTAAACTCGGGCATCTCCATGTCAGTACATCCGGAGTTGTGACCGGTCACCGCATGCACCGTTCCGAGACGAGCATGGACGTTTACGGTCATTCTCATCTTTCCGCAGTCTAACAGAGTGGGGTGCGGAGGGAGCATCGAGAAGGTGCTTGGGAATATTGATCGACGATGCCATGCCTCCTTGTAGTCACGCAGCGCAGCTATTCTGTTTCGTTGTGCGTGACGGCGTGTCAGAGTGAAGGGTTCATCCGGTTCGACAGTGACCTCGGACGCTAGGTTGAGACGGTGTCAGGGATCGGTTGATGGGCCAGGTTCAGATCGTGTTTTTCTCAGGAAAAAATGCTTGTCTCCGATCTTCGACAATTTGAGCATTTATCTTTACATCGGCCTCGGCAGTGCTGTCTCCTCCTCTCATCCCCTCCCCTCCTTTCTTGATTATACTTCTCTTCTCCTCCTCCCAGCCGGTACCATGTCGGACCAGGCCTTTGGGTTCCCTATATCGTCGGCGCAGCAATGTTCTTGTCAGCTAAATAGCTGAACGACGTTGGTGGCTTTCGCATCGACAGGTAACGGTGTGGGTTTCACGGATCACCCGTCCACCCGCCCCCTTTCAGGCCCATTTTGGGCCCAAGGTTGGCGTCATTATGCTTGATTTTCCCTAGTGCGGTAGAGTTGGATCTTAATTTCAAGGCTCACACATTACCGAATTCACGCTCTGCTCACTTTGAAGCCAGATATTGCAAAAGATGCCAATGCACGCTGTGGAACTCCCGCGAAAGGATTTGTTTGGAAAACGCATGAGGCTCCAAGAGGTCACCAGAGTGCCCACACAGGGCTTCCAAGAGGGCCGATTCAGGCAACACCGCAAGTATTTCAAAGTGTGTGTTTCTTTTCTGCCGTTCCACTTCGTTGCGAAAGTGTGGCTCCAAGATGGCCTCGGAGGCCGAAACGGTCCCGAAGATAGTTGCACTGTTGCTTGAAAATGGCCCAGGATTGCCACGAATACCAAGCCTCAGTACGACTTCAGACACCAACGCGTGGGATTTCAAGCCAAGGGCCCGAAATTCCGGACACGGCCCTTCAAACGCGTTATCCATGTGACCTCATGGCAAGTAAAATTTGCGCGCGGACGAAGCGTTCGTGTTGGTGATAGTACACATAGTTCGCGACACCTTTTCACATACATATACATCCATACAGACATATAGACATACACATACATACATACATACATGCATGCATGCATGCAAGCATGCATGCATACACACATATATACATACAAACACACATCCATATACCGCATAGACCACCCTTCGGGTGATTAGGAGGTGAGGGGGGGGGGAGGGATCAACGTCGCATTCGATTGATCTCACTATCGAACTCACTACCGATCTCACAATCGATCTCAATCGATAGATCTCACAATTGATCTGACTATCGATTTCACAATCAATCTCACAATCGATCCCACAATCGATCTCACATTCGGTCTCGCTATTGACCTCACAATCGATCTCATTATCGATCTGACTATCGATCTCACTATCAAACTCACTATCGATCTCATTATCGATCTCACATTCGGTCTCACTATCGATCTCACTATCGATATCACAATCGATCTCACAATCGATCTCGCATTCGATCTGACGATCGATCTCACTATCAAACTCACCATCGATTCCATTATCGATCTCACTATCGATCTCACTATCGATATCACAACCGAACTCACAATCGATCTCACATTCGGTCTCATCATCGATCTCACTATCGAAATCACTAGTGATCTCATTACCGATAGTGATCTCACTACTAACTCAATCGATCGATCTCACAATCGATCTGACTATCGATCTCACAATAGAATCCACAATCGATCTCACATTCGGTCTCACTATCGATCTCACTATCGATATCACAATCTATCTCACAATCGATATCCCATTCGGTCTCACAATCGATCTCACTATCGATCTCATTATCGATCTCACATTCGGTCTCACAATCGATCTCATAATCGATCTCACAAGCGATCTGACATTCGATCTCACGTTCGATCTCACAATCGATATCACTACCGATCTCACTATCGACCATCAAAACAAAACATCAACATCGTCCAGCGGGACACCGGCGGGACACCGCGGGGCCCCGGCCGCCCGGAAGGGAATCATTTCGTCCGGCCGCGCCTCAGCCACACGGGACACCAGCGGGACACCGGCGGGACACCGCGGGGCCCCGGCCGCCCGGAAGGGAGACATTTGGTCCGGCCGCGCCTCAGCCACACGGGACACCAGCGGGACACCGGCGGGACACCGCGGGGCCCCGGCCGCCCGGAAGGGAATCATTTGGTCCGGCCGCGCCTCAGCCACAGGAGATTTTCTCTCGCCCGCCCACGCAGTTTCGCCTCGCCCGCACGCACGGCACGCACGAACACGAAACCGAAATCGATTTCCCGGTAGGGGGGCTCTGCGTTCCATTTCGATCTCACCCCCTTCACCTCCGATACCTACATACATACATACAGACAGACAGACAGACAGACAGACAGACAGACAGCCATACATACATACATAACATACATACCGCATAGACCACCCTTTGGGTGATAAGGAGGTGAGGGGGGAGGGATCAACGTCGCACTCGATTGATCTCACTATCGAACTCACTACCGACCTCACAATCGATCTCAATCGATAGATCTCACAATTGATCTGACTACCGATTTCACAATCAATCTCACAATCGATCCCACAATCGATCTCGCATTCGGTCTCGCTATTGATCTCTCAATCGATGTCACAATCGATCTCGCATTCGATCTGACGATCGATCTCACTATCAAACTCACCATCGATTCCACTATCGATCTCACATTCGGTCTCACTATCGATATCACAACGATCTCACAATCGATCTCGCATTCGGCCGCACTATCGATCTCTCTATCGAATTCACTTTCGATCTCATTATCGATCTCACAATCGATCTGACTATCGATATCACAACCGAACTCACAATCGATCTCACATGCGGCTTCATCATCGATTTCACCATCGAAATCACTACCGATCTCATTACTGATAGTGGTCTATCTCACTACTAACTCAATCGATCGATCTCACAAACGATCTGACGATCGATCTCACAATAGAATCCACAATCGATCTCACATTCGGTCTCACTATCGATCTCACTATCGATATCACAATCGATCTCACAATCGATATCCCATTCGGTCTCACAATCGATCTCACTACCGATCTCATTATCGATTTCACATTTGGTATCACAATCGATCTCATAATCGATCTCACAAGCGATCTGACATTCGATCTCACGTTCGATCTCACAATCGATATCACTACCGATCTCACTATCGACCATCAAAACAAAACATCAACATCGTCCAGCGGGACACCGGCGGGACACCGCGGGGCCCCGGCCGCCCGGAAGGGAATCATTTGGTCCGGCCGCGCCTCAGCCACAGGAGACTTTCTTTCGCCCGCCCACGCAGTTTCGCCTCGCCCGCACGCACGGCACGCACGAACACGAAACCGAAATCGATTTCCCGGTAGGGGGGCTCTCCGTTCCATTTCGATCTCACCCCCTCACCTCCGACATACATACACACATACATACCCCTCACCTCCGACATACATACACACATACATACATACATACATACACACACATACATGCATGCATGCATGCATGCATGCATGCATGCATGCATGCATACATACATACATACATACTATGCATGCACGCGTGTACATACGTGTATGTATGTACAGATCCTGCGATCCATCGATTACGCGAGCTGTGGATCGATACCACTATTCATATTAGCAGCGATTTCACCACCTACGATTCGGAACAAACATGGGGACAACCATCGGGACAACCATCGGCACAACCATCGGCACAACTATCGGGACAACCATCGGGGCAGCCATCGGGACAACCATCGGGACAACATTCGGGACAACCAGCGGGACCACCAACGGGACAACCATCGGGACCACCAACGGGACAACCATCGGAGCAGCCATCTGGACAGCCGTCGAGGCAAGCATGGGGCCGACCGCATGGCAACCGCGGGGAAACCGCGGAAGGCCACGAGACACCCACGGGACCACCGCGCGGCAACCGCGGGGCGCCAACCGCCAACAGTTTGCCAGGGCTTCGTTTTAACAGCGGCGGAAGTGTTCCTCGCTCCCGCGCGCGCAGTTTCGCTTCGGTCGTACCCACGGCACAAGCAGAAAGCCGAAGCCGATGGCCTGGCGGAACGCCCCCTTTTCACACCGATCTCGCCTCGAAGCCCCCGACGCATATTGGCATGAAGATTAGGGGTACTGTTAGCCAGCGCGGCTCCACTCTGTGTTCTGGCGTAGTATGTTGCGCAACCCATGTGTTGCATCTCGCCCTGAAGAACTGTTCGCGGAATCACCCGACCCATCCACCCGCGGCTCGCAGAACCCATTTGGTTGGCGTTGATTGCGTGGACTGTTTGGCACTGGCTGGCGCATCGCTGTGGCCGCGCTAGCGCACGCAGGCTCGCGCGCACAGCGGCCAGTCAGTCTGGCGCGACCGACGCGGTCGCGGTGGCGCTGACCGCTGGGGACTTTCTTGCGCGTCTCGCAAACCGCGCTGACTCGCGGGCACTCCAGTGCGACTCGGTGACCCGGGCGGGTGCGGTAGCATAGCGACGTCGACAACGGCAAACACGAGTTTGATAGTAGCGATGTTGGTGCCGATGATGGCGGTGACGACTGCAAGGCGAACGATTGGGCGGATGTTGATCACGCCCACGACGATGATGGTGTCCACGTGTGGGTAAGGAAGGTGTTGGAAGGATTTCGGCATGCGCGCGCGGCCGACGAGCGCGAGTGGCCCGCATAAGATCTTCTGACAGGGATCGCGCCCGCCCCCCTCCCAGCATGCGCGCACCAGCGTCCGAATGATTTCGGCACGCGCGCCAGATTTCCCCGCTCCGTCGCATGGGATGACATGTTGAAAAAATGGGATATGCAAGCATTCTCGATAGCGCATGCCGATTTGAAAACCGCGTTGTGGAACCATGGTGCTCCATGTTTCTTGAAACTCGACCTTGAAATTCTCACGCGCGTTAAGGTTTATGGAAGATGTCGGGGAGCCCCAGGTTGTTGAAGTTTCCGGCATGCGCGTGCGACGACGCGCGCATGTTTTCTATGTCAAAATGTTCTTGGGGATGCTTGAAGACTGATGTTCTTGTATAAGCGAGTTTGCGCGCATAGTATGATTTACTAGGGAAGGAAGGCATTTTGGTTGGGATGGCACGAATCAAATTTGTAAAACGCATACCCCCAGAGAGAGCGGATAAGAATGGACCAAAGAAACTATGGATTCGGCTTGAGTTGGGGATCTGGCGTTTGCCATGTATAGGGCCAAGTTGGCCAGGCGGACAGCGACGGCGACGACGACGAGGGCGACGAGGACGAGGGGGAGGAGAAATGAGACGGCGACGAGGGGGCGGAAGGCCAGCAACCCCATCGCCCGATCGGCCCAAGCCAACAGCGACGGCAGAAAGGGAGAAACGCATCGGAGCCACACTGGGACCATATTGACACATCGTTGGGGTCAGCTAGGGTAACAGATTAGTTGTTTGGCAATATCGAAGTCGTTTCGAGCTAATGGGGTCGTCCTGGGGCCTCCTCGGAGTAAAATCGGGGCCACGCGGTAGCTTCAGTTCAGTCGGAAGACAATGTGTTCGTTTGCGCGTGTTCTTGGGGCCGAGAGTCGTTCCAGGGT